CTGGGGTTGTGGACTGGTGGGGGTGGATCCTGGGGTTTGTGGACTGGGTGGGGTGGCATCCTGGGGTTAGGGGGAGGGGTTGGGTGGCATCCGGGGGTTTTTGGTGGACTGGGTGGGGCACCCCGGGGTTGTTAGGGGAAACTGGGGGTGGCTTTCCTGGGTGTAGGGCTGGGTGGGTGGCACCCCTGGGTGTTATTTGGACTGGTGGGGGGGTGGCTCATGGGGGGTTAGTGGACGGGTTTGTGGGGGTGGCACCCGGGGTTTGTTAGGGGGGATTTGGTTGGGGGGCCCATTCCGGGGTTTTTTTAGTGGAGGGGTGTGGGTGGCACCCTGGGTTTTAGGGGGACTGGTTGGGGTGGTTTTCTGGGTGTTAGTGGATGGTGTGGGTGGCATCCTGGGTGTTAGGGGGGCCTGGGGGTGGGTGGCTTCCTGGGTTTAGGGGGACTGGTGGGGGTGGTTTTCCGGGTGTTGGGTTGGACGGGTTTGTGGGTGGCTCCTGGTGTTAGAAAGAGGGTTTGGGGGTTTGGCACCCCTGGGTGTTAGTGGACTGGTGTGGGGGCATCCTGGGTTTTTAGTGGACGGGTTGTGGGTGGCATCCTGGGTTTTTAGTGGATGGTGTGGGGGGCACCCTGGGTGTTATGGGGGTTTGTGGGGGCATCGGGTGTTTTGGATGGTGTGGGGGGGCTTTCCTGGGTGTTAGTGGGTGGTGTGGGTGGCACCCTTGGGGGTTAAGGGACGGGGTGTGGGTGGCATCCTGGGGTGGGGGGACTGGTGTGGGGGGGGCCCCCTTGGGGGTGGGCTGGTGTGGGTGGCACCCTTTGGGGGGGTTTTTGGGGGACGGGGGATTTGGGGGGGGTTGGGATCCTGGGGGGTGAGGACTGGGTGGGTAAAAACCGGGGGCGGAGGACTGGGGGGTGGGTGGCTTCCTGGGGGCTGGGGGGATGGTGTGGGGCCCCCACCCGGGGGGCTGGGGGCTGGTGGGGGGTGGCATCCGGGGGGCTGGGGACTGGTGGGGGGTGGCATCTGGGGGCTGAGGACTGGTGGGGTGGCACCCTGGGGGCTGAGGATGGTGTGGGTGGCATCCGGGGGCTGGGGACTGGTGTGGGGGGCATCCGGGGGCTGGGGCCCACAGTGGTAAAAAAGCCCATGTCCCCCCATGATTCACAAACCATTGTTTGGTTATCCTGGGGGTTTCCCCTTTCCCAGGAAAAAAAAAAATTTCCAAAACAAATATTAAAAACCATAAGAAGGGAAGGAAAAATCCCGGAAGGCCAAAGGGCCCCATGGAGGCAGGTCCAAGTCTCCTCCCGGGTTTTTAAAGCCAATGCCCCAAAAACCCTGGGTCAGGTCAGGTAAATTGACTTAGGGAGGAAACGGCAACCGCCCTGGTAGCACAAGTATCAGGTTCCAAACCACCCCCAAAATTTCATGTTTTTTACCCAAACCTTTTTTTAAAGCTACACAACGTTCTGGCCTCTATAACGGTATTTGGGAAAGTTTTTCCATCATCCAAAACTCTTTTAAAAAAAAACCATTTACTTTACTTTATTTTCCCTGAATCTGAATTTTTCAAAATTTAAAACCATTGCTGCGGCCTTTTCAAAGGTAGATATTTTCAGCACATATTTCACCCCCTTTTAAATTTATTCTGTCTTCTTTTTGCCCTAAATCATATCCCCCAATTTTCTACGTTTTCTAGAGAGTGCAGTTTCGGGGGCCTCAGTTATCCTTTTGGGGAAAGGTTTTTGGATACAGGGGATCAACTTTGTCATCCCTTTGTACTTTTTTCCAGAAAATTTTTATCCCCCTTTGAATACGGGACCAAAACTGTGCACCCAAAAATTAAATGGGGCCAAAACCAAGGTTATAGATTTTGAAGAAAAAACCGGGGAGGACTCCTATTATTTAGTTCTTGATATGAACCCAAAGGGGATTCTATTAGCTTTATTGCAAAACAATTAGAACTTTTGGTTTGGTTTCAGGGTTATGCTAACCCCAACTCCTAAATCTTTTTTGCAATCCGTAATATTAAAACTACATTATTTAGTTTATATTTTTGGCATGGTTATTGTCCTGTTCCCAAATTTGAACTTTGCCCCTTTGTCTAATTAAAGCTCTGCCCCTCTCCGACCACTGCATCAGGGTTTTCAAAAACTTCCTGGAGTGCTCTAATTTTCCCGTCCCGAAGGGAATTTGGGCGGCCCCATTTTTTTGGTTTTATCGGCAAAAATTGCTGATTTCGCCCTTTTTGCCCTTTATCTAAAGTCGTTTTTGTAAATTGTGAACAGCGGGGGCCCCAAAACTGACCCCTGGGGAAAAACCGCTGGGGACCTTTCCCCCTCTATTTCTCCCATTTATGCAAATCTTGCTGATAAAAATTTGACACATGTTTCAACTCTTGGGTTTTTATTGAGGAAACGTTTTTGCCACCCCAGTGGCTTCATCAGTCCATACAAAAGGGGAATTTTTAAAAACAGGAGGAGGGAAAGAGGGAATCAGTCCCTCAAAACCCGGTTATGTGGTCAGTTTAAACAATCTTGAATAGAAACGGCATAATCGGGGAGCTTAAAAAAAACCGTATGGCAGGGGGGAGGTGCCCGCAGTCATTTGGTGGTGTCACATTTGTTTTAATGTGGAAGTAGGTCGTGCCCCAAAAATTTTGGCAAGCGAAGAATTCCCAAGTTTAAGATCCCCCAAAATGTTGCAAATGTTTTGGCAAAACCCGTCAGGTTTCAAAAAAAATTTTCCCCTCTCCTCTTTTGATTTGCCTACTTATTTAAAAACCCGCTTTAAAATTGTAAAAATTTAGTAATAAATTACAAGGGTTTTAAAAATTTTTGTGACCTTGTTTTTGTCCCCGTGACACTTGACCTGAACCCCTTTTGGGGTTTTTTTGTTTTTAATTTTGGATTTTTCTTCTCCTTTTCAAATACGTTGTTTGTTTGGGGTTTTTAGAGAAGTGGGGTCGGGGCCGTAACCCGGGGGCCCGGTGGTGGCTGGTGGCTGCGGGGGGGCTCGGCTGGCTGGCTGGCTGGGTGGCTGGTAAATGGCTGGGGGGAAAGGCGTGGGGGTGGCTGGTAGGTGGCTGGGTGGCTGGCTGGGGTGGTGGCTGGCTGGGTGGGTGGGGCCCGACCCGACTTTGGTGGCTGGCTGGTGGGGTAGCTGACTGGCTGCGCTGGTCTGGCTGGGGGGATACTGGCGGGGCCCGGCTGGCTTTCTGGGTGGCTGGCTGGTGGCTGGGTTTGGGTGGCTGGCTGGCTGGCTGGCTGGATGCTGACCCGGTGGCTGGCTTTGGGTGGCTTTGGGTGGCTGGCTGGCGGCTGGTGGCTGGCTGGCTGGCTGGTAAGGTGGTTTGGGTGGCTTCTGGCTGGCCTGGTGGCTGGCTGCTAACTGGATGGCTAAATTGGGTAAATGGCTGGCTCTGGCTGGCTGGCTGGCTCTGGCTGGCAACTGGGCTGGCTAATGGCTTTGGGTAACTGGCTTGGCTGGGTTGGGGGCTTTAAATGGCCCCTTTTTTGGGTTTGGGTTCGTTTTAAAAAAAGTAATAATTAAAAAATTAACCGGGCCCGGTTCTCTACACATATGCTGTATGTATGATAATTTTTATGTAACTGTATTTGTGTATTCCTCAAAATTTTTAAACTTACTTACCTTTTTTCTTCTTTTTCTTACTTACTTTCTTATACTTGATAAAACTCAAAATTTTTATTTTTCAGTCTCATTTAAATCACAAGAGCTAAATATTTTAAAAAATTTTTTTTTTAAAATTGTTATTCTAAAAAATTTAAAAATATTAAAGTACCCCAAAAAACCCACTGGAATAATTTTTTTTTTCTGATTTTTTGGGGTTTTTCTGGGGGAATTTACACATATGTTGATAATTTTAAAGTAAATGTATTTATGTGTATGTATACCTGAAAAATTTATTTTTTTACTAAAAAACTGAGCGATAAAAAAAAACAAGGGAAAGAGAGTCAAAAAGTAATTATGTTTTGGTTTAAAGTGCCCAATTACAAAATTTAACCAATAATCACTTAAAGCTTTTTTAAAGTTTTAAAATTTTATTTTTAATTACTTGCAGCAATAAAAGAATTTAGGGCAATTTTTTTATATAGTATATTGTAAATTTTTGGGTTTGACAGGTATAGGTATAAATTATACATAAATAATATGTTTATAAGAGTTTTTAATAATGTTGGGGTATGCTGCTTTTAGTAAATAGTGCATTATTTTGTGGGTTGAGGTGAAATCTTTTTTGACTCTGACCCCTTTAGGCTGACCCTTGGGGCTGATTTGAGGGTTGGGTTCTGGGGCTGACATCTAGGGGGACTCTGAGGTGACCATCTTGGGGCTGACACCTGAGGCTGCTGCCCCTCTGGGGCTGCCCTCTGAGGGCTGACCATCTCTGAGGGCTGACCCCTCTGAGGGCTGACCATCTCTGAGGGCTGACCATCTCTGAGGGCTGACCCCTCTGAGGGCTGACCATCTCTGAGGGCTGACCCCTTGAGGGCTGACCATCTCTGAGGGCTGACCCCCTCTGAGGGCTGCCCATCTCTGAGGGTGACATCTCGAGGGCTGACCCCCCTGAGGGCTGACCATCTCTGAGGGTGAAAATCTCTGAGGGGCTGACCCTCTGAGGGTGACCATCTCTGAGGGCTGACCCCTTGAGGGCCTCTAAACCATCTCTGAGGGCTGACCCCTCTGAGGGCTGACCACCCTCCCCTCTGAGGGTGACCATCTCTGAGGGCTGACCCCCTCTGAGGGCTGCCCCATACTCTGAGGGTGCCCAAACTCTGAGGGCTGACCACCTCTGAGGGCTGACCACCTTGAGGGTGACCACACTTGAGGGCTGACCATCTGAGGGTGACATCTCTGAGGCTGCCCCCTCTGAGGGCTGACCACCTCTGAGGGCTGACCACCTCTGAGGGCTGACCACCTCTGAGGGCTGACCACCTCTGAGGGCTGACCACCTCTGAGGGCGGGACAAACTCTGAGGGTGACCACCTCTGAGGGCTGACCACCTCTGAGGGCTGACCACCTCTGAGGGCTGACCACCTCTGAGGGCTGACCACTGAAAGTAACATTCGACCTAATTTACATTGCTGATTCCTCTTAAGGGATGTTCCTTGATGCTGGTGAGGGGCTCTTGATCTAGGGAATTGGATCTGTGCTTCAGTTCTCTTAATTAAACCTGAATACCTTCAAATCCCCCCACAGGCACTGTATAATCCTACGGGTTTAGCGCTTTCCCTTGATCAAAATAATAATGATTGGCTGCATTTTGATTATTAATGTTATGTAGTGTTGTTTAAATTCTGTATTACAACACCAGAGACGAGGTGTATATCATTTCTTAATGAATTATTCAATTCAAGTTTATTCTCTATAAGGGTTACAATGTGGGGTTTACAGGTTTTGGATATTGTGTGGTTTACATGTTATAAAATACTAATTACAGAGGGGGCCACTAGGACACCTAGCATGGCTAGGCATTACAGAGGGGGCCACTAGGACACCTAGCATGGCTAGGCATTATAGAGGGGGCCACTAGAACACCTAGCATGGCTAGGCATTTCGAGCAGACTTAGATTAATTCTTAACATTAAATCCTTACAGATTATGGTATTAAGGCTAAGTGACTACATCATAATTTGTGAGTTTAGCAATGTGAATGCTTTTGTTTTGGCACAATACAAGGTGTCTATATTGGAGTATCATAGGCAAACTTATGACTAGTTAGGATTCATTATTTTTAGATTAAGATTAGTATTTCTGGGTTTATAGTCAGTGCGTGAGTGAGTGTAAGTGTGAACCACCAGGTGGTTTACATGTAGTTAGTTGTCGGGGTGTATCAGGAGATAAAATGTTTTCTACTGTAGTTTTGAAGGTGATGAATGTGTCTGCAGTTCTAGAGTTTTCAGGTAGGGTGTTCCAGATTTTGGGCCTTTGACACACATTGAATTTTTGTAAAGGTTTAGTCGACACGGGGAATGTCAGAGATGTTTGTGTCTGGTGTTTTAACCTGTGGGTTCTGTCACAACTATCAGAAAGCATTTTAGGTCAGGTTAAAATTGGAATTTAAGGTCCTGTAGATGTAGATTGCACAGTAGTAAGTGTGGATGTTCTGAACAGGGAGTAAGTTTAGATCTATGAAGAGTGGGGGGGTGTTGCCAGGGATGGGATTTAGTGATTATTCTTACTGTGGCTTTTTGTTGGGTTATTATTGGCTTCAGGTGTGTTGCTGCAGTTGATCCCAAGCACAGATAGCATAGGTGAGGTATGGATATATAAGTGAATGGTATAGTGTGAGAAGGGCAGTTTGTGGTACGTAGTATCATATCTTGGAGAGGATCCCCACCTGTGAAAATAAACTTGTAATGACATTTTAGAGCTTTCCTTGGTAATATATTCAATTTTTGCAATTATATGCTTTTATTGTTTATGTGATTACCAAATTGTAATTACTTAACTTTAGCTACAGGAGGAGAACTCTGCTGGCTGTGTCCTGTCTTCTGTAATTTCATGTAATTTTATAAAATTTTGAATGTTGCATATATACTTCATTCTTGTAATTCATTCCATTAGTCTAATACTCAGTTTCTTTTAAATCTTGTATACTTTCAGTGGTACAAACCCTTTTACATGGGTGTGTGGCATGGACTTGATGAAGATTGTAGGTATTGGAGATGTCATGTTTGAGTTTGTAGTATGAATAATATACAAAGACCTCTGAGTATAGAAATTAGAACTCATGAAAGGTATTCAGAGGAAGGAGGAAGGGTTGTCAAAGTAGTTTGGGCATTTAAGGGAGGATCTAGCAGAATAAAATGACCAAGAGAGGGTATAAATTCAGGTTGGAAAGGAGGGAGAGTAGGGATTATCTCAGGAAGGGTTGGGGGAAGGTGTGAAGGAGGCTTTACATGACAGGGGATTGAACATCCAGCAGGCATGTACTCACCTAGTTGTACTCACCTAGTTGAGGTTGCGGGGGTCGAGTCCGAGCTCCTGGCCCCGCCTCTTCACTGATCGCTACTAGGTCACTCTCTCTGAACCGTGAGCTTTATCATACCTCTGCTTAAAGCTATGTATGGATCCTGCCTCCACTACATCGCTTCCCAAACTATTCCACTTACTGACTACTCTATGGCTGAAGAAATACTTCCTAACATCCCTGTGTTTCATCTGTGTCTTCAACTTCCAACTGTGTCCCCTTGTTACTGTGTCCAATCTCTGGAACATCCTGTCTTTGTCCACCTTGTCAATTCCTCTCAGTATTTTGTATGTTGTTATCACGTCCCCCCTATCTCTCCTGTCCTCCAGTGTCGTCAGGTTCATTTCCCTTAACCTCTCCTCGTAGGACATACCTCTTAGCTCTGGGACTAGTCTTGTTGCAAACCTTTGCACTTTCTCTAGTTACTTTACGTGCTTGGCTAGGTGTGGGTTCCAAACTGGTGCCGCATACTCCAATATGGGCCTAACGTACACGGTGTACAGGGTCCTGAACGATTCCTTATTAAGATGTCGGAATGCTGTTCTGAGGTTTGCTAGGCGCCCATATGCTGCAGCAGTTATTTGATTGATATGGGCTTCAGGAGATGTGCTTGGTGTTATACTCACCCCAAGATCTTTTTCCTTGAGTGAGGTTTGTAGTCTCTGGCCCCCTAGACTGTACTCTGTCTGCAGTCTTCTTTGCCCTTCCCCAATCTTCATGACTTTGCACTTGGTGGGATTGAACTCCAGGAGCCAATTGCTGGACCAGGTCTGCAGCCTGTCCAGATCCCTTTGTAGTTCTGCCTGGTCTTCGATCGAGTGAATTCTTCTCATCAACTTCACGTCATCTGCAAACAGGGACACCTCAGAGTCTATTCCTTCCATCATGTCGTTCACAAATACCAGAAACAGCACTGGTCCTAGGACTGACCCCTGTGGGACCCCGCTGGTCACAGGTGCCCACTCTGACACCTCGCCACGTACCATGACTCGCTGCTGTCTTCCTGACAAGTATTCCCTGATCCATTGTAGTGCCTTCCCTGTTATCCCTGCTTGGTCCTCCAGTTTTTGCACCAATCTCTTGTGTGGAACTGTGTCAAACGCCTTCTTGTAGTCCAAGAATATGCAATCCACCCATGTAAGTTCCAAGTAAGTAGAACAGAGCAGTTTTAAGGATCTGGCATGCTGTTTGAGTAAAGAGATTCAGGGAAACAGGTTAGGTAGACTTAAGTCCTGGAGGTGATAAATTCACTGCCTACTTCCTGAAGGAGAGGTGGGGATGTTGCAGTTTAAAATGTCATTGAATTATGATGTCTGCATTCTTCTGGCAAGATGGCTGTTCAGTGAATGACAGTGAATTTATTTATTTTTTTTTTTTGTAACTCTTCCTTAGTGGGAAATTATTTTCTTTTTACTTTAAGGCACAGTGGTCTAGGGAACCACTGAGAGTGATCTGCTGGCTAAGAAAGTTAGAGTGGCAAAAGTATTTATACTAGTCACAGTTTGTGTATCTGGTTAGAAATGTTGATAATGTCCTGTAGAATATTGCAAGACCTCATTCCCAGAGAAACAGTGATAGTGGCTTGATATCTTTCTCAGTGTTGTCTCGTTTTTCTGATTCTGTAGAGAAGTTGATCATTTTCCAGTAAATTGTATCTCTTATCTGACATTTTTTGACAGTTACTCTTTTTTGCCACACTGGTCAGTTGACACATACTTTTGTCATATTTATTTTACACCATTTATTTTTTTGTTATGGGTCTTTATTAGCATACAGTTTATTTGCAGGAATTTTTGTACAATCGGCAGATGGGTTAGTAGAGTTAGCCATCAGCCAGCTCGACAGCAGTTTCAGCGAACCATGGCAAACACAGGAGAAGGAACATCCGGTGCCAGTAGTGATACACAGAACCGCTTGGCCTCAGAGAAGTCTCCATATCTTTTGCAACATGCTAGTAATCCTGTACACTGGTAAGAAATTAATTTTTTTTAGCCACTGTTCAAGTACATATATACAGTGGGCCCTCGGGTAATGATGCAATCGGATAGTGATAAAATCAGATATCGATGCGTCTTTGCATAAAAATATTGGCTCGGCCAATGATGAAAAACTCGGTTAGGGACATTTGTCCTGAGAGCGTACGCACGGCCTGGCCCGCCCACGGCTGCCCAGCCACTATGTACACCCAGTGTGCCATTGTTTTCAAGCCAGAGTGGACGGTTCCACACATACATTCGATATATTTTGTATTATTCCATTGTTTTTAGTACTTGTAACTGCTAAATAAGCCACTATGGGCCCAAAGAAAGCTTCTAGTGCCAACCCTGTGGTAAAAAGGGTGAGAAATACTATCATACTATGGTCAGTTGCTGCTGCACCACCATGGTCAGCTGATCCTGTACCATGGTCAACTGCTGCTGCACTACCGTTAGCTGTTGCTGTACCACCGTCAGCTGCTGCTGCACTACCGTTAGCTGTTGCTACACCACCGTCAGCTGCTGCTGCACCACCATCAGCTACTGCTGTACCATGGTCAGCTGCTGCTGCACTACCGTTAGCTGTTGCTGCACCACCGTCAGCTGCTGCTGCACTACCGTTAGCTGTTGCTGCACCACCGTCAGCTGCTGCTGCACTACTGTTAGCTGTTGCTACACCACCATCAGCTGCTGCTGCACCACCATCAGCTACTGCTGTACCATGGTCAGCTGCTGCTGCACTACCGTTAGCTGTTGCTGCACCACCGTCAGCTGCTGCTGCACCACCATCAGCTGCTGCTGCACCACCGTCAGCTGCTGCTGCACCACCGTCAGCTGTACTACTTGAAGATGTGGAGAGAGTGTTGTTGGTGTGGCTTAACAAGACACAGTTACCGAGAAACAGTTAACCCCAGAGGGTTAGCCACCCAGGATAACCCAAGAAAGTCAGTGCATCATTGAGGACTGTCTGACTTATTTCCATTGGGGTCCTTAATCTTGTCCCCCAGGATGCAACTTACACCAGTTGACTAACACCCAGGTGAACAGGAAAAAAATGCTTGGAACTAGTGCTCATATTAGTGAATTTAAGGCCAGCAAAGGTTGGTTTGAGAGATTTAAGAATTGTAGTGGCATACACAGTGTGATAAGGCATGGTGAAGCTGAAAAATTCCAACCCCCAACAAGTGTTCAATTGTAACGAAACAGGTCAGTTCTGGAAGACAATGCCAAACAGGACCTACATTACTTTGTCTACTACCTATAAAATATAATTTAGAAGTATTCCAGGGAGACTTGACCTAGTGACTCAACACACTTTACCTCCCAATGATCCAACTTGACCACCATGTCTCATGTCTGCACGTCTCATTGTTTTCTGTGTAGGGAAATGTATATTTCATGTAAAAAAAATTATTTTTTTTAATACTTCTGGCTGTCTGGAATGGATTAATTAGATTTCCATTATCTCTTATGGGGAAAATTAATTCGGTTAATGATAAAATCGGTTAAGGACAAGCTCTCCGGAACAGATTAAAATTGTTACCCGAGGGTCCACTGTAATGTACTGTATATAATATCACTAATTGTGTTGAATGACCCATGTAAGCAGTGTTTTTTGTGAATACTATACTGTATTGCAAAATAATACTAACTGTGTATAATTCCATTATGCATTTCACTATTCTTACTACTACTGTAAATTAATTTTATCTACCTGTTTGGCCTTCTCCCACTAAGATAGGGTGACCCCCCATAAAATTATTGCATTCATCATTCATTCAATTCATTCTTTCAATTTTTTTTATGTACTGTATTTGGTATTTAAAATTTAGAGTAATGATATTTTTAGGTATCCCTGGGGTGATGAAGCCTTCAGTGCAGCTCGGCAAGAGAATAAACTCATCTTCTTAAGTGTTGGGTATTCTACGTGCCATTGGTGCCATGTTATGGAAAGAGAAAGTTTTGAGAATCCTGAAATAGCAAAAATAATGAATGCAAATTTCATTAATATCAAAGTGGACAGAGAAGAGAGACCAGACGTAGACAAAATGTATATGACCTTTGTTACGGTGAGGAAATGATATTTTTATTACCAATTGTGTACCTTTTCACTATGCACAAGTCTGGTTTCTTAGTTTTAGTGTTTTTCTAAGTAATATTCCTTGGTAAATTCCATGTAAATATTGAAGATTTGAAGAGTACTACACTACTACATGTTTGCAGTTTTGGGCCCATGCTAATGTTACTTTTACTTACAGATTCAGTCAAAATATTAAAACATTTATGACACTTGAAATTTCTTCACAGACAAATAGATGCTATACCTCCATGTCCAGCAAGCGGAACTGATCTGTGGTGTGAAAGGAGGCAACCGTCACTAGGAATTACAAAAAAGAACAACCTTCCTAATTTACTTAATTTTTACACAGGAACAAAACCTCAATACACTGTAGAAATAGCTGAAGTTTCAGCCCCATCACTAAAATTAAGATAAAAGTAAAATATTAATTTTTAGATAAAATAATTTTTATATTAACTTTTAATTGTCAAACTAAATGGTTTGTAAATAAGCAAATAATAGAATTTTATAGGTCTTATCTTACTATCAAATGCAATTATCTGGAAATAATGTATATAAAATGTGATTTTTTTTTTTGAGGAAGGAAGGAGGGGAATTTTTATTTTAAAACACAGTTGACTGTCAATTAACATGGTAATTACATTCCTAAAAACAGAATGTAATTCTCTTCATTATAGTTGTCATTGCTTTTTGATACAGAAATGTGTGGGGAGGAGTGTTGTGATCCTGTCCAGTTCCTGTATAAATATATATATATGACAGGCAGTCTCACAACTATCACATGCCACTACCACAACTACAGTTGCCTGGAAATATCAGTAAAAATACCATATATTACCAGCCACAAGATTAAGATTTTCATGTAATAAATATGCCCAGACTAATACCTACCATAATATGAGTGCAAATTATCCCAAAAATATGAAAAATGATCAAAATAACAAAAGAAAAAAATTGAGGTTATTACTATTCTTTTGTTATTGTTTTGTTTAAAGGTTGTGATGACCAGAGTGTTTCTGTGTCCATCACTTTTTTGTAATTTTTTGTTTCAACACGACAGCCGTCTCCCACCAAGGCAGGGTAACCCAAAAAAGAAACACTTTCACCATCATTCATACACAATCACTGTCTTTTTTCAAAGGCGCCCAGATATGACAGTTTAAATGTCACTTCAAATAGCCAACATCTCAAGCCCGTCCTTTAAAATGCAAGCATTGTACTTCCTTCCACCAGGATTCTAGTCTGGCTAAATATAAGCTATTGTTACATAATTTTATTTATAAAATGAATATAAAGTATCATTTCCCTCGAAGAGAAGGAGAAGACATATAAATAATGGTAGTAGCTTCACATGGGCAGGTCCAGAACTTGTGAACCTAGTACAGTAGAGGAGGGCCCCGCTAATACACCAGGTTAGGTTCCATGCTACTGTAGGGACCAGCTAATACAGCAGTTTAGGTTACAAGTTACTGTAGGGACCTGCTTATACATCAGGTTAGGTTCTGGGCTGCTGTAGGTCCTGTTTATACATCAGGTTAGGTTCCAGGCTACTGCTGTATAGCAAAAATTGCTGTAAAGTGAAACTAGCCTTTTCACACTTTCAAATGCATAAAAAAAAAGCCTGATAACATATTTACATTATCATATATTAAGTGAGCAATAGTACTAGGCCTAAAAAATGCACATTACTTACCTTAAAATATTTTTGTCCTTAGCTTATAGTGAGTGGTGGAATAAGTAAATTTATTCAAGTATACACAAATACAGTTATATAGATTATCATACATAGCAGCATGTGTAGAGAACCTGGGATAACCCAAAAAAGTCAGACAAAGTGACATTGTAGGAGGCCTGAATAAATGAAGAATGGGTATAATTGAAAACTGCTGCATTACAAAATGGCATAAAGTGAAGTGCTGTAAAACAGGGCCTGCTTCTATATAAACTTTATCTCCAGGATCCTCACATTTTAGCCCTGATGATGCAAAACATATGGAAACACTGCATGACTTGATTGGTATACAGGAAACGGCTTAGCCCTTGTGGCTTAGCGCTTCTTTTTGATTATAATAATAATAATAATAATAATAACAGGAAACGGCTAATTTAGTCACATCTGTTAATTAGATCTGTAACTCCCATCGTAATATGCACTTTGTATATATAAACAGTGTGTACTGTGGTAGCCTTATGAACTTTAGACACATTTATCATGTCAGGGCCACAAGCTCATTCCTTCAATTTTTTGTTTAATTACTGTACTTCTCGCACTATTATCAGTCACTAACATATTCATCCTTTGACTAAATACACCTCGAGTAAATGAGGGACTGTTAAAGACACAGGAATGCTTAGTTACAACAGAATTATTGGCTTCTAGACTTTGTATGTACTGCCTTTCAGCTATTTTCTCAAAAATTTACTGCATTCTAAATGATAAATATGAAGTGCTTATAGCAAATATACCGCAATTTTTCAACTGTGTTATGTCAAAAAAGTGTTAATGGATCACATGTTAATCGACAGTCTACTGTACAGTGGAACCTCAAATTTCAAACTTAATCCTTTCCAGGAACTAGTTCTAAATTCGAAAAGTTTGAAAAGCGAAGCAATATTTCCCATAAGAAATAATGGAAATTACAATTAATCTGTTCCAGAACCCAAAAATATTCACAAAAAGAAAAATACATTTTATAGGGATTAATTTTAGCTGTACATACACACAACAATTTTTTTTTTTTTTCAACAAGTCGGCCGTCTCCCACCGAGGCAGGGTGACCCAAAAAAGAAAGAAAATCCCCAAAAAGAAAATACTTTCATCATCATTCAACACTTTCACCACACTCACACATTATCACTGTTTTTGCAGAGGTGCTCAGAATACAACAGTCTAGAAGCATACACATATAAAGATACACAACATATCCCTCCAAACTGCCAATATCCCAAACCCCTCCTTTAAAGTGCAGGCATTGTACTTCCCATTTCCAGGACTCAAGTCCGACTATATGAAAATAACCGGTTTCCCTGAATCCCTTCACTAAATATTACCCTGCTCACACTCCAACAGATCGTCAGGTCCCAAGTATCATTCGTCTCCATTCACTCCTATCTAACACGCTCACGCACGCTTGCTGGAAGTCCAAGCCCCTTGCCCACAAAACCTCCTTTACCCCCTCTCTCCAACCCTTTCGAGGACGACCCCTACCCCGCCTTCCTTCCCCTATAGATTTATATGCTTTCCATGTCATTCTACTTTGATCCATTCTCTCTAAATGACCAAACCACCTCAACAACCCCTCTTCTGCCCTCTGACTAATACTTTTATTAACTCCACACCTTTTCCTAATTTCCACACTCCGAATTTTCTGCATAATATTTACACCACACATTGCTCTTAAACAGGACATCTCCACTGCCTCCAACCGTCTCCTCGCTGCTGCATTTACCACCCAAGCTTCACACCCATATAAGAGTGTTGGTACTACTATACTTTCATACATTCCCTTCTTTGCCTCCATAGATAACGTTTTTTGACTCCACATATACCTCAATGCACCACTCACCTTTTTTCCTCATCAATTCTATGATTAACCTCATCCTTCATAAATCCATCCGCCGACACGTCAACTCCCAAGTATCTGAAAACATTCACTTCTTCCATACTCCTCCTCCCCAATTTGATATCCAATTTTTCTCTATCTTAATCATTTGACACCCTCATCACCTTACTCTTTTCTATGTTCACTTTCAACTTTCTACCTTTACACACATTCCCAAACTCATCAACTAACCTTTGCAATTTTTCTTTAGAATCTCCCATAAGCACAGTATCATCAGCAAAAAGTAACTGTGTCAATTCCCATTTTGAATTTGATTCCCCAAAATTTAATCCCACCCCTCTCCCGAACACCCTAGCATTTACTTCCTTTACAACCCCATCTATAAATATATTAAACAACCATGGTGACATTACACATCCCTGTCTAAGACCTACTTTTACCGGGAAGTAGTCTCCCTCTCTTCTACACACCCTAACCTGAGCCTCACTGTCCTCATAAAAACTCTTTACAGCATTTAATAACTTACCACAACAAATATAGTGTACAATTATGTATTAATAAATTTAAATGAACATATAAAATAACATTTTTACTTCCCTTTATTGAAGATTGGTGATGGCTTCTGGAAGATAGGGAGGAGAGAGGGAGTTGGGGGTTAGTGTTTGGAAGAATCCCCCTTCATAAAGACTAGGTATCAAAGCCCTCTCTGGGGTTACTTTCCTTCTCTGTCTTTTAATGTCACAAGGACCAGCTTGAGAGTCACTGGATCCCTGTCTCACAAAATAACTTTCCACAGTCCTCTGTTTCTGGCGCCTCTTTAAGATTTCCCTAAAATGGGACATGGTTTTGTCACTGAACTTTTCACAAATAATCATCTCTGAAACACTATCACCTGCCATCTCTTTATCCTATCCACACCAGCAACAACTTTTCAGCCTGATCGATTGTCTGTGGTCTTTTTTTGGTTAGCATATTAACATCTTTCGCAACGGACAGAGCGGGCTGGCGGACAGGTCCGGTACCCGGTGGTTCGAAAATAGGGGCGAGTTCGATAATAGGGACAAAGTTGGTTAAAAAAAAAACGGTCTATTTTTGAAGAGTTTGATAAGTGATATAGGAGATGTTTAGTATCCAATATACTCATGGAAAATCGTAATAAGGATTTGTACAATGGAGTGATGAAAAGACTGCTTTAAAACTTGTTGTTAATGTAAAGTAATTTAAGTGATATTCTATATAGTATTTTAAAATGGTACCTTTACTTATAAAGAAATAACACTTAACAGACTTATAACTTATATATCGTTTACAGTTACATTTTGCGACTGAATGGGTATTTACATATGAATTTGATCAAGTTACATGGTCACTCAAACCAGAGATGATCCAAGCTTAATAATTGAAGTCTCTTTAAACACTGAAGAGATTTTACTTGGTGAGAGTTTTACAAATAATCTACTTTCAAGTGATTAAGAGAATAATATTATACTGCTGAATAAGTTCTCAGTCAAAGTCAACGAGCAAGTAGAGAGGACCTTCTCAAGACTGAGAGAGGTGTTGTACTCCTTATTCTTCCCCACTCACACCTGACGTCAGCTCGCTTCAGGCGAGTGGAGTAGAGCTGAGGCCAAACAAACAAATTGGTTGTTTCCAGAATAAATATATACACAATGAAAAATGGGAAAGATGAATATGAATATCTAATATTATAAAGCTGATTACTCTCGTTTTAGCATTAACAATGGTAATCGCAATGTAATATTAGAAAGATGAACAAATGTGAAAGACATATACATCATAATTGCACCTCCGCGTAACAATTATTATTACCCCAGTGAAATCATGCACCATTCTTAATAAATAACAAGTTTAAATTTTTGAGTAACTGTCACTCATAATTGTTGCTTTAAACACTAATATGCATCCCACCTTAATAAGTTAAGTTTCCTTCAGGTGACAAGACTATCTTGATGTTACATACCTCAGAAATAAACAAAATACATAAATATACCCCAGAAATAAAATACATACATAAATATACCCCAGAAATAAAATACATACATAAATATACCCCAGAAATAAAATACATGCATAAATATACCCCAGAAATAAACAAAAAAGAAACCATTTATTGAAATCAGTGTTAAATTTAAAAAAAAAAAATGCCAGAAGTCTTTTTTTTTTTTTTGTCTGATATATGCGCCTCTGCAAAGACAGTGATTGTGTATGAGTGATGGTGAAAGTGTTGAATAATGATGAAAGTTTTTTTTTTTGGGGGGGGGGGGTCATTCTTTTTGGGTCACCCTTGGTGGGAAACGGCCAACATGTTAAAAAAAAAAAAATCAGTAGGCCTTTGAACAATATAAAAATACAAAGGTTTTAAACTGTAGCAGTCAAATAATTGTAATTCCTTTGCTAACCTGCTCAGGCATCTAGTGGACGAGGTGGGTGGCCTATGAGTGTATTCCTTACTCCTGATTTAGTCCCAGTAGCTGGTGGCACTTATTTCCCACCGGAGGATCAGTATGGCCGGATTGGTTTTGGAACATTGCTGAATAGTTTGGCAGCAAAGGTAGGGACTAAGTCTCAATGGATGGAAACTAACATTAACCAAAGAAAAGTGGAGAAATGTTGAGGCTCCTGTAACACTTCATTATTTATATAAAGGTGTAATTTTCATGGACCAATTTTAGCTAATTTATATATAGTAATTTTTTTAAAATGTACCATTAGGACTTTCAGCATTTTCTTTAACAAAACACAAGATTTTGAGATCGTATCTGTCATGCCTCATAGTAATAAATAATTATACTCAAATGTTAGCTTTAATTTTTTGGTTCATGGTGTTACGATGAAAATACAGGTGCATTCTCATTTCTTTACATGTCACAGTGTTACCTAACAGCTTGGTTTTTGGGTAATGATTAGCATGTTTTATATTGTAAAATACGAACAGTAATTTTCAATATAAAACTGCCACAAATTTGATTTTTTTTTACAGAATGGTGTTGGAGAGAGGCAGGAGGATATCAGGAAAACACTGATTATCATTTTCTAAATGTTTTAAGCTGCTAGAATAGTAAATTATTGTGCACTGTCCATATTTTAGTCTCTCAGTGGTAGTGGTGGATGGCCTATGAGTGTGTGGTTGACCCCAGACCTCAAACCTGTGTATGGCGGCACATATTTTCCACCCACCAACCGCTACTACGGGCAGCCAGGATTTCCCCAACTTCTTGATTCTATTGCCTCCCAGGTTTGTGAAGGAGAATCATGGGGTTATGTTTCTTGTTACATGGTTCGTTATGCCATTTAGTTGACCAATTTGACTTAAGTGGGACTAATTGATTTCTGTGTGAGTCTTCTTTTTTTTCATATAAATTATGCTACAGTAATGCTAAAGTTCTTCTTTCAACAAACCAAACACTAAAATTATTCACTGTTAAATTTTGTATAGATTTAGTTTTTAAAATATATATTTGTCGTTGTTTTTTCCTGGAATCCTCCTCGCTTTTGTAATTATTATTAATATTGGCAATCACTAATTTACACATGAGTTACTTGTCTGGTTTTTCAACTTAGAAATGAGTTACTTGTACATATTGTAACCAGTAGTATGAGGAATGGTCATATTTGATACTGAGGTAGTTAAACTTGATTTGGCTTCTGAATGCTCTGTTTGTAAGTGTAGATGTATGCTAACTGGGTTGTTTGTTGAGGATCTTTGTTGAGGATCTTTGTTGAGGATCTTTGTTGAGGATCTTTCATTTGATGTTTTTGGAAAGGCAGAATTTTTTAATTTTTAATATAATTTAAACCAAATTTTCCATTAGTATATTGTTTCAAGTCTAGGCCATTAAACTGTATAAAGTTATAGGAATTATACAAAGATATCTAATTTCCATTGTTGTTTACATTCAGTAAAACAGATTTGAAGAATTATTACTATCAAAATAATTTAGAAAAAACTTTTTTCTAAGTATTAGTAATACATAATTTCATAGTTATATCATTAGTTATCCAATGTCCTGCTGTATTAACAAACATGGTATGCTATTTTAATTTAAATGTTTTTGTTTGTATGCACTAATCAGAAAAGGAAACAATTGCTTAACCATATTTAATAAAATTTTTATATGGAAATGGTAGACTATCTTAATAATGTAAATTTTGGTATAATGAGGTAATGTTGGAATACGTACTGCAGTGTAATGTTAAAGTTATTAACACGAAGTGGACTCATCCCACGGTGTCGTTAAAAACTAATGAAAAAAAAATACCTTTTAATGTCTTAGTAATGGTGTGCTAAAAAAAAATTTGACTTTTTTTTTGTAGTGGCAAGAGAACGAGACAAAATTCAAGGAGTCTGGAGTGAAAATAATGGAGGTGCTTGATAGAACGTCACGGTTACCCGCCCCTGGGGCTGCCACCATGCCTGGAAAAGAAGCAGTTGCTAAGTAAGGAAGTCTTTTTCTTTCTTTTAAAGAAGTTAAATTTCCCAAAAAGAACAAAAAGGCACAATATTGTAACTAGAATAATACCCAAATAACCTGGACATGAGAGAGATTACCTTATGATGGTGTTTTCGTCCAACCTGGACTAAGTCAGACCGAAATGTTGTCATAAGCTCCTCTCTCCTGTATGCAGGTTATATGTGTATAAATTTCCCAGTTGTCATCAATCACTTGTACAATATTTTAAACCAGTATAAGCAGTAGCTGCATCTCTGTGGTTCAGATGGTGCAGTGGCTAGTCTTGATGGCATCTCTGTGGTTCAGATGGTGCAGTGGCTAGTCTTGATGACATCTCTGTGGTTCAGATGGTGCAGTGGCTAGTCTTGATGGCATCTCTGTAGTTCAGATGGTGCAGTGGCTAGTCTTGATGACATCTCTGTGGTTCAGATGGTGCAGTGGCTAGTCTTGATGACATCTCTGTGGTTCAGATGGTGCAGTGGCTAGTCTTGATGACATCTCTGTGGTTCAGATGGTGCAGTGGCTAGTCTTGATGGCATCTCTGTAGTTCAGATGGTGCAGTGGCTAGTCTTGATGACATCTCTGTGGTTCAGATGGTGCAGTGGCTAGTCTTGATGACATCTCTGTAGTTCAGATGGTGCAGTGGCTAGTCTTGATGGCATCTCTGTGGTTCAGATGGTGCAGTGGCTAGTCTTGATGGCATCTCTGTGGTTCAGATGGTGCAGTGGCTAGTCTTGATGGCATCTATGTGGTTCAGATGGTGCAGTGGCTAGTCTTGATGGCATCTCTGTGGTTCAGATGGTGCAGTGGCTAGTTTTGATGGCATCTCTGTGGTTCAGATGGTGCAGTGGCTAGTCTTGATGACAGAAACATTTCCTGGATACTTTTATCTTGTTGCAATAATTTTCTTAAATCACATTTAACTATTCTTGAGATCTTCATTTTTCTTAAGGCTCATATACATATATTAACTTTCTTATTTATTTTTTTTATCCTTTTATTGTTTATTAACTGTTTAGTCTTATCTTGTTGCTTATCTTTCATTTAGTTTGGTCATGTTTGTATTTGTCATTTGGCTTTATATATGTAAATTTATTTGTTAATGTTAATTAAGTCATTTATAACTGAAGAAGTATGTCCAGTGCAATTATGGTGCAATTATTTAATAAATGTATGGAAGAGGGTAAGGTACCTAGGGATTGGGAGAGAGCATGCATAGTTCCTTTGTATAAAGGCAAAGGGGATAAAAGAGAGTGCAAAAATTATAGGGGGATAAGTCTGTTGAGTGTACCTGGTAAAGTGTATGGTAGAGTTATAATTGAAAGAATTAAGAGTAAGACGGAGAATAGGATAGCAGATGAACAAGGAGGCTTTAGGAAAGGTAGGGGGTGTGTGGACCAGGTGTTTACAGTGAAACATATAAGTGAACAGTATTTAGATAAGGCTAAAGAGGTCTTTGTGGCATTTATGGATTTGGAAAAGGCGTATGACAGGGTGGATAGGGGGGCAATGTGGCAGATGTTGCAAGTGTATGGTGTAGGAGGTAGGTTACTGAAAGCAGTGAAGAGTTTTTACGAGGATAGTGAGGCTCAAGTTAGAGTATGTAGGAAAGAGGGAAATTTTTTCCCAGTAAAAGTAGGCCTTAGACAAGGATGTGTGATGTCACCGTGGTTGTTTAATATATTTATAGATGGGGTTGTAAGAGAAGTAAATGCGAGGGTCTTGGCAAGAGGCGTGGAGTTAAAAGATAAAGAATCACACACAAAGTGGGAGTTGTCACAGCTGCTCTTTGCTGATGACACTGTGCTCTTGGGAGATTCTGAAGAGAAGTTGCAGAGATTGGTGGATGAATTTGGTAGGGTGTGCAAAAGAAGAAAGTTAAAGGTGAATACAGGAAAGAGTAAGGTTATGAGGATAACAAAAAGATTAGGTGATGAAAGATTGAATATCAGATTGGAGGGAGAGAGTATGGAGGAGGTGAACGTATTCAGATATTTGGGAGTGGACGTGTCAGCGGATGGGTCTATGAAAGATGAGGTGAATCATAGAATTGATGAGGGAAAAAGAGTGAGTGGTGCACTTAGGAGTCTGTGGAGACAAAGAACTTTGTCCTTGGAGGCAAAGAGGGGAATGTATGAGAGTATAGTTTTACCAACGCTCTTATATGGGTGTGAAGCGTGGGTGATGAATGTTGCAGCGAGGAGAAGGCTGGAGGCAGTGGAGATGTCATGTCTGAGGGCAATGTGTGGTGTGAATATAATGCAGAGAATTCGTAGTTTGGAAGTTAGGAGGAGGTGCGGGATTACCAAAACTGTTGTCCAGAGGGCTGAGGAAGGGTTGTGAGGTGGTTCGGACATGTAGAGAGAATGGAGCGAAACAGAATGACTTCAAGAGTGTATCAGTCTGTAGTGGAAGGAAGGCGGGGTAAGGGTCGGCCTAGGAAGGGTTGGAGGGAGGGGGTAAAGGATGTTTTGTGTGCGAGGGGCTTGGACTTCCAGCAGGCATGCGTGAGCGTGTTTGATAGGAGTGAATGGAGACAAATGGTTTTTAATACTTGACGTGCTGTTGGAGTGTGAGCAAAGTAACATTTATGAAGGGATTCAGGGAAACCGGCAGGCCGGACTTGAGTCCTGGAGATGGGAAGTACAGTGCCTGCACTCTGAAGGAGGGGTGTTAATGTTGCAGTTTAAAAACTGTAGTGTAAAGCACCCTTCTGGCAAGACAGTGATGGAGTGAATGATGGTGAAAGTTTTTCTTTTTCGGGCCACCCTGCCTTGGTGGGAATCGGCCGGTGTGATAATAAAAAAAAAAAATAAATTAATCCATACTAATAATAAAGTTCTCCATGGGGAAGTGGAACAGAATTCTTCCTCCATAAGCCATGCGTGTTGTAAGAGGCAACTAACATGCCGGGAGCAAGGGGCTAGTAACCTCTTCTCCTGTATATATTACTAAATGTAAAAGGAGAACCTTTCGTTTTTCCTTTTGGGCCACCCCGCCTCGGTGGGATACGGCCAGTGTGTTGAAAGAAAGAAAGAATTAATCCATACTAATAATAAAGTTCTCCATGGAGAAGTGGAACAGAATTCTTCCTCTGTAAGCCATGTGTGTCATAAGAGGTGACTAAAATGCTGGGAGCAAAAGGCTAGTAACCCCATCTCCTGTATACATTACTGAATACAAAAAGAGAAACTTCCGTGGAGGGAAGGCAGGGTAGGTTGTTGACCTAGGAAACATTGGAGGGAGGGGGTAAAGGAGGTTTTGTGTGCGAGGGGCTTGGACTTCCAGCAAGAGTGTGTGAGCGTGTTAGATAGGGGCAGATGGAGACAAATGGTTTTCAAGACTTGATGTGTTGTTGGAGTGTCAGCAAGGTAACATTTATGAAGGGATTCAGGGAAACTGGCAGACCACACTTGATTCCTGGAGATGGGAAGTACAGCGCCAGCACTCTGAAGGAGGGGTGTTAATGTTGGTGTTTTATAAATGTAGTGTAAATATGCCTCTGGTAAGACAGTAATGGAGTGAATGATGGTGAAAGTGTTTCTTCTTTTTTTGGTGGGAAGCAGCTGATGTGTTAATAAAGAAAATAAATAATACACAGCACATGAACATAAATTATTTTTACATATGTTAATATGTTAATACTGTACAGTACTTAGAAGTTTGTGATGTGTTCATATAAATTATTGATTTTTTCTCAGATGCTTTGCCCAGCTGTCTAGTTCTTATGAGCCGAATTATGGAGGTTTCAGTGAGTCACGAAGTTTCCCAGCCATCTAACTTCAACTTCCTATTTACGTATCATGCATTACACCCTGATTGGGATGATGCAAAGGTATACATCTCTTGAAATGTATCTGAGCAGTTTGCTACTTCACTTACTTATGATCAATAGTTCATTACAGTATTCTTTAGCCCTTTGACTGTTTCGCTTGTATATATACGTCTTACAAGCCACCGTGTTGACGTACAGTAGACCGTTATTTAGCATGGTAGTTATGTTCCTGAAATGACATGTGAGGTAAAATCATGCTAAATGAAATGAAGAACTTATGGGAAAAATAGGGTTACATTCCTGGGAGCCCCAAAAAGCCAAACAACTTTTTTTTAGACCAACAGATCTTGCAAAAATAAAAGTGAACATGTAATTGTAGTTCATTGCTTAAGACTACAAATGAAATAGAAATAATAGTATTTCTTATCTTAAATTGTGGGTAATGGTGTGTGTGGATGATTGTGGAGAGATTGGATATGGATGGTGTGGCCCAACTGGGCTGAGGTGGATGATTGTTGGTTGTTGACAGAAGTGGATGGTAGTGGTTCTGGTACTGAAGTCGATGGTTGTATTGGAGTGTGCATAAATTCTGTAATGGTTCTCTGGGCTGTTTTACCCTGCAATACATTATACAACTGAAGGTAAGGCATCATCAGCTGGTCTAGATCCCGTGTCAAAGCACTGCTTCTAGATTTGTCAGGGTCCTCTTCAGTGAAAAAGTCTGCAACTTTACCAGTAATATGGAACTGCTCACGTAATTGCTGCAATGTTAACTGTTTTTCTTCAGGTTCTTCTTCATCTTCTTCTGTTATGTCCCTCCCTTATATCTGTGTCTCATCAGCATTAAACACTTGATGTGGCTCATAGCCACCCCCAGAAATAATTTCCTGCAATTCAGCAGGAGAATTACTTGTTTCTGTATGATCAGCTGAAGCACTTTCACCAGCAAACTTAATATTATGTAACTTATTATGCAACTTAAAGGTGTGGAACCAGCCTGTGCTAAACACACACACTTTTTCAGGGTTTCCTTCCTTATGACACTGCTTTAAACAACTGTAAGGTCTTTTCCCTAATTAAGAGGAAATTAAGTGGTGCACCTTTCTTTGTCTTATGTTCAGTCCACTCAAGCAACAAGTTTTCTGTTTTATTTACTTGTTGGGACCTATGTGTCATTCTTTTCATGAGATGACATCTTGGATTATTCATT